CATTGCTGTGTTGGTTTTTAATGGCTTACAACCAGCACTCCACCCAAGAACTTTTACCTTGCTCATATTTTCCCACAGATTTTTATTTCCACAAATCCGTTCTTCAACAAACAATCTATAAGCCCTTTCTCCACAAGATTCTGTTCCAAGTATGTTTTCTGCTACATTGTCAGGAAGTATGACTTTTGTCATCAAATTGAACAACTTAAGTTCAGTTCCATCATCTGAATCACCCACTCTGAATGGATTGGAGTTTGATAGCACTTTTGTTAGGTCATGTATATACTTCTCTTGTCGGTTTAATTTAGTGTTTGTCATTTGGTGTTGTGAAGTTCTTGTAAATTTTGTCACTTCTAACATGTTCTCCAACTCAGTGGATAGTCTTGTTAATTCAGGAGCACTTAGGCAATACCTAAGTAGAGCTTCAGGGTTTGTGGTTATTCTAGATACTCCTCCATCACCTTTGTTACCTTTGTTGACATATTCCTGCGCTTGGTCCACTCCAATAGCTGTAAATGCTACTGGGTTTGTCTTCACAGGGACAAAAATTGGATGCTGAAATTGTAGATATCAGATTTTGATGAGCTTGGGGTACATTCTTCTGCTTCTTGCACGCAATAGGTTATGTAAACTATCCTGTAATGCTGCACAAGCACCTGGGTTTTTCTGAAAAATAGCTTCAAGCAAAAGGTCATTCATTACTTGTAAGGTCACCTGATGACATTCTATGGCTCGGTTGTAGTGTATACTATTCATAATCTGCATGACCGTGACAGTGCTGTACATGTCTGCCTGAACCCATGCATCATCTAGTCCACTACTTTCAACTGTTTGACCAAGGCATCGCAATGCACACAAGACTGTATGAAAATGACTTGGCGACTCGATCCATTTATTTGAATATTGAGTTGGATCCAGGTAGGCAAGTTTAATAACTGTTTTGTATAATTCCATATCAAGCTAAACACACAGTGGTTTATGGGAAACATTACTTCTGACAAGCTCATTCAATTCGTGTAGCTGTAAGAGTGAGGTAATCAAAGTCGACCATTCATGGGCTGGTGCATTAATAAGAGGTATAGCATGTACCTGGTCAGGTGTTTTCTGATTATCTGATATTGAATCTGCATTGATTACAGAGTTGTAAGCAGCCCACACAGGTATACATTGTTTTGCTGAGGTAGCTTCCTGCGTGGCTTCCTGCTCCATGATCTGGAGGCCAGTATCTCCACTGACATTTGACTGTGTTACTGCTGTAGTTGCTTTATTGCCGTCTGGGTGTTCCATGGTCTGTGTTTCTGCACTGATACTTGGCTGTGTTGGTAAAGAGGGCATGTCCAACTCATGTATATTAAATACACCTTGGGTAGCTTTGCTGGTGGATGCCTGCTCATTAGTATGTGTGTCTGTACTGATACATGACTGTGTTACAACTGTAGTTTCTTCAGTGGCGGATGGTTGTTCCATGATCACTGTGTCAGTACTGATACATTTTTGCCTACAGAAGTATCGTGCCAGCAACCAAGCAGTGATACAATGTTGTGACTCCAGTGGCTTATCGAGATGTTGGAAAACTTGAAATTTAGGATAATGAGGGCTTGCTTTGGGTTTAGGTGCCCCGATAATATTACATGACAATAACTCTACACCAGTTAAAGATACATTCTTCAACTTCATAGTTGAAGATTTCGTACCCAGCTGTAGTGGTCCAACTATGGGTTCAACAGTTACTCCTTGTTGAGCTCCTTTCTGAAATACAGTTGCTGCGAGTGCATGAAAGGAGTTTTTACCATCTGGGGTATTTACCTTTGCATCGATATTGCCGATAGCCGCATCAATACTTTTGCCCTTACTCAAACCAGGAGGTACATAGACACCTTTGTTGTCATTCATGTTTGCCTGTACTTCACCTGCAGTCTGTGATACATGTCCTAATGTAGATTTGTATGAGGTTCCAACCCCAGCATGTACTAGAATATCAACCATTTTTTCACTTCTTGTTGCATGGTAACAATGCAGGGACATTCCTGTTGAGGGGTTTCAGTTCTGCTGCGAAATCCAGCCATGGGTGACTTATGGGTGGTTTATATGCAATCTGTCTCTTTGATTTGTATGCTTGTTTTATCTGTTGTGCTAGGGTGTTGCAACTACGGTGAATCATATTAGCACTTAATACTGTCTGGGATACAGTATGTCCCTGTATTATCCATCTCAGAAATATGTCAAGTTCATACGGTCCATTTGCTGCTGCTAGTGAACCACTAAATGTTCATGTCTTGGCTTGTTCGATGGTCCTGCGCACAATTTGTGCACATGGAAATATAACTTGCACCTCTTCAATGCCATTCTTGTATGCTGCGGCATCTACTGCTTCAGCTTGTGCTGCTTTTGAGTGAATCAATGTCGGCCTAGACTTAACTTTTGGATGTGTGAATTCTACATTCTCAATGTTTCTTTTAAT